ACCACAAAATTCATGCCCGACCCCCGTCATATCCTCCACTTCAAGTTCTTATTAGAATGCTCCCACATATTTTTGGCTACCTCTTCCAATCATTCTATGACCACAAGAGCTCAAAAAAAATTCCCTCAATTCTAAAGCACTCACTCTCGCCATGCGATCCTGATTTCATCCTCCTTGGCCAGTGAACCAAAAACATATAAGCAAGCTGCATAATCTCCTGATTGATTGTACGCCATGGAAGTTGAATATCAAGCATTATTCATAATCACACATGGAAACTCTCTCCTTTCCTCTTAATGCAAATGTGATGGGTTGTAAATGGGTGTACCACATTAAGCATCATGAAGATGGGTCGATTGAAAGTTACAAAGCTCGTTGGATGGCCAAAGGTTTTCATCAGGCAGAAGGGGTTGTTTCCATGTTACATTCAGCCCAGTTGTCAAACCTTCAACAATCAGACTTGTATTATCTTATGCAGTGTCCAAGATTGGTGTCTTAAACAGTTAGATGTTAATAATGCATTCCTTAATGGTGAACTTTCGGAGGTTGTTTATGCCTCAACCACCAGGCTTTACTGATAAGTCTCACCCATATTTTGTGTGTCGCTTGTCAAAGGCTTTACACCGTCTAAAGCAAGCTTCTCGCGCCTGATTTCTCAAGCTCAAAACATTTCTCCTATCGCATGACTATACTTGTTGTTACTCTGATTCATCCTTGTTTGTCCATCATACTCCTTCCTCTGCTACATACCTCTTGGTTTATGTGGACGGCATCATCATAACGGGTAATGATCCCTCTTATATCTCCTACTTCACCAAACCCTTTGATCTTCAGTTCTCTATAAAAGACTTTGGTGATCTCTCATTTTTCTTGTGTATTGAAGTTGCTCGTGTGGGATCTGGTTTGCATCTTTCTCAAGCTAGCTTCATTCGAGACTTACTCTTCGAACAAAAATGACAGATTGTAAGTCTTCTCCTTCTCCAGCAGATAGTGTTGACATCCTCGTGAAAGGGCGCAACATAGTTGTGACTTATTAAAAAAAAAGTAATTAGTTAAGTCAGTTTTTAAAAGAATAAAAAGAAATTTTAAAAGAGAAGGAAACTTAAAAGGGGTTGAAAAGGGTTTGAATTGAGTCGTCGCCTAAGTTTTAGAAAAATTAGGAAATCTATTAATTAATGGACTTGAAGTCTACAAAATCAATTGATCTGATAAGAGGTTCAAGTTATTTCGAAAGGAAGGCGTTAGACATCCTTCGAAATTCATAAATGTGGGTCCCATCTTAATTCATTTTTCAAATTGAGAAGGAGAATTAAATAATGTACAAGTATAATAAACATGTAATATACACAAGTAATAAAATAAGACAATACAAGAAACGGCCTAAAGTTTGTCTAACGTCAATATATACAAAATGAATAAAGAGTATAATTCAAACTTAATTCGAATAGCTTCAGCGGGAAACAACTGCGAATACATGTAAAGACACTTAGTAAAAGTGTTAGTAATAAATAAATATGAGTAAAAATAAATGAATCAAACTATAACTTAAAAATTAAAAATCCAGTCTTATTAACATGGGATACCTTAGAAATCGACAGTGATTTCTTCATCGTCCATTTTTAACAAACAAAATTATGAACTTAGATTAAATTTATGTCTTTTAACATTGAGGAAACCTCCAAATCGACGAAGAAATTTTCTCATTTTCAACTTTTAACATATATGAACCTAAACATAGTGAAAATTATCAGAAACAATACTTAAACAGAAGATGGCAAAACAATCCAAACTAATTCCTAAAAAAATAATGATGATAAAGCAATAAATAGACAAATGTACAAAATAAAATATAAAACAAAATTCACAAATGCGCTAAACTACCAACAGTCTTTTAACTCAAAACAAATCAATAAAATTACATCAAGACAACAAACAACGATAAAGATAAACATAATCAATAAGAAATTAGTCAAATCAATAATCAATGAGAAGAAATAGTAAAGAACAAAATCAATGCTAGGCTACCAAAGACTCGTAAAAACACACAATTTTAGAAAAAAAAAAACAAATTAAAACAGAGAGAGGCGAAAGAGCTTAGCCATTATCGAAATTCCCTCCAAAAGAAGTAATAAAATAGTGGAAACATTAAAATAAAATCCAAATTGATCAACTAACAACGACAAACATAATATCTAACAAAATAATAACACCTGAAAACTAAAATTCATCTCAAATAAATAGAAAAATGTGAAATAGGAAAGAAGGGTCACCGGGAAGAAGGATATCTCGCGATGGTTTGTAGTTGATGTCCGAAGGATCTTGCTTGTTGCTACTATTTTGTCACAGTGACAAGGGTCCTGCAATGATTATATGGTGGTGGAATGGTGAGATTCTGGTAGTGGTTAGTTTTTCCGGTGGAGTTTGGTTGTTGTTGTTGGGTTCTTCCCGGCGGAAAACAGTGGAGGGTGGTTTGGCCTGAAAAGGGTGGCTGTTTGCTAGAGAAAATAGGAGAAAACAAATGGGGTTTTTGTGGTGGACTGCCTGAATTTCGGTGGAACTTCGACGACTTACGGGAAAATAATGAACAATGAAAAAGATTTTTTTTTTAAATTTAAAAATCTGGAAATTATCCTATATTTTATCCACCATCCCAAAAATCCAGTGAGTTAACTATTCTATATATAGAAAATTGTTAAAAATAGGCCTAAATTATGGGCTCGAGATTGTGATCTAAAAATCTTTGGTCGGGATTCAAACCCTCGTCAGTGGCTTTGCACGCCTCTTAAATCAGCTCACCCACAGGTTTTGTTCTATGGGTACTCATTTAAATTATAATAAATATGTATCATATTTTCTATATATATATATATATATATATAAAAAATTTCGGAAATCAATGGGTGCTCGAGCACCCGCGTCTGGCTTACTGGGTCCACCTCTGTGTGTATGCAAATTGTATTCGTATTTAAATAATTTTTTAGACAGTGTAAAATATCAAAATAAATATTACCAAATGTAACAAAGAAAATAAATATGAATGAATATAATGAATGTAACCATGTAAAAAATGTCATTTAACAGAAATAATGATTTTATAAAAAATGAATAAATATTTGAACATTTGAATGCGACAATATAATATAAACATTACTATCGACAAAATCTTAATATTTTGAAAAAAGAGGATAACTATCAACAAATTGCATTAAAATGTCAAAACAAATATTCTGGACTATTTAAAAATAAAATACTCAAAAATTATTAATTTTAGAACTATCATACCAAAATTTGATGTCAATGAATAGCATATTTCAATTATCCAAACACGGTGAAACCTTTGATGATCCATCATTATATTGGAGTATTGTTGGAGCTCTTCAATATGCGACTATCACACGACCAGAGATCTCTTTTTCGGTGAGTCGTGTTTGTCAAAATATGCATAATCCTACCTTGAATCATTGGAAAGTTGTGAGACAAATTCTTCGTTATCTCAAAGGCTATCTTACACATGGAATAACCATCACGCCATTCACTTCCTCTATAATAAATCTTTGTTGTGATGCCGGGTGGGCTGCTGATCTTGATGATCATCGTTCTCATGATGGACTTATTGTATATTGTGGTCCTAATCTAATCTGTTGGTCCTCGTGAAAACAAAAGGTAGTAGCTTGGTCTAGCATTGAAGCTGAATATCGTGCCATTGCATTTGCCGGATCAGAAGTATCTTGGATAACTAGTTTGCTTATGGAACTTCGATTGCCCTGGACATGTCCTCCCATGATATTCTGTGGAAACAGTAGTTCTATTTATCTCACTGCCAATCATGTCTTTCATCAAAGGTCAAAGCATATTGAAATTGACTATCATTTGTTCGAGAGAAGGTTGCTGGTGGACAATTTTGTGTTCAATACATTTCTCCACGGATCAAATTACTGATGTGTTAACTAAAGCTCTAAGCTCCTCTTGATTTTCTCATCTATGGTCCAAGCTCACTGTCTCCAAACCCGACATATGCTTGCCGGGAGTGTTAGATGATAACGAATCCTAATCTAAGAATAAATTATGTTATTCGTGCCATTAAAATGAATTTAAAAAAATAATAATCTTCTAACGATTCTCGAAGTAGTAATGTGAGTATAACTATTATGAATTTTCCTCGTGGATACCAAGGTGGTGAGCAGAAGGTGGATACAAAGGTGGACGAACAAAAGATGGATACTAAGGTGGTTTTAGGAGTAATATAAGGCAATCACATGCTTCATTAGGTGAAGAGAAGATCAATGAGCTATTAAAATATGATGATCCTCATAATATATGATATTATTTTTTTTTATGGGCAAAAGACAGAAATCACATACTTTTGAGGTAAAATTACAATTTGTCCCTTATAAGTTTATAATGACAAAAATGTCTCAAATGATACAATAATATAAGTGTTGATACATTAATCTGATGCGCGAGATACATTAATTATTAAGTATATTACATTTTATACATGATACACTAATTTGATGTATATTTTATACACGATACATTAATTTGATACGCGAGATACATTAATTTGTTGTAAGAGATACATTAATTTGGTATGTGAAAATAAGAGATTTTGAAAATTTATAAAACTAATAAGAAATAATGGTAATAAGAGAACTTAAAGATAGAATTTTTGTCATTTTTCCTTTCTTTTTTAGATGGTTTCAAAAAAAGGGGAAAAACTATATACCTTTTTATCATGATTTTCTTTGAATCTATACGTCCGATTTTATGTGACCGATTTGAAGTATGAATATAGTAACAAGGAATCAATGTCCAAAATTACGTCACCTTTATTTTTTGGGAGACGATCAGAATACCTCTTTAATAAATACTAGATAGGCATGACACTATTACTTACATATATACAATTACATGTGCAACAACCCTTTAGAAAAGGAAATCTAATTAATTTAATTCAACGACATCTAATTCAAATATAAAGATTAAAAGTATTACATGCATTAGGCAACTTTAATGTTGATCTGATAAATATACTAATGCAGCATATTTGATTAAACAAATAATTGTTTAAGTTCATATACACTTTGGATCTAATTATATTTTTTACATACATTAGACAAAAATATATGTGCGACTTAAAGCTTCTAACCACTGTTACATAATAAGTTTTTGAACCTTCTCATGTTTTGACAGATTATTTCCAATTTCCACCTTGGAAACTTGCTTCAATTGACTCAAGATAACAAAATCTGATTCTATATTTTGAAGAATAACACAACCATCTTCTTTTGAGGGCTAAAAATCGAAAGCATGCCACCTAAATATATCACACAACTTGAACAAACTGGATAATAATAAAGTAAAACACATTAATCAAGATACAATTTTCAAAAAGTAACATCACAAACCATAGCACTCTTGCATACTCTTTAGATTTAAATGGACCACAATGAGGATTTTAATTGTCAATTAATCTTTGAACCCATTAGCGAGTCCAGTGGCAAGTAATATGAGGAAAGGAAGACATAAATTAGCTATCATGATAGTGCCATTGGATATTAAGCTATATCACAAATGCCAATATAAAGATGATGGTATCAAAATAACTTTTCTCGAGTGTTTACTGCTAATTAAGGGCAAAATTTAATTGTCTCTGATATAATTTGTAAGATTTGGGACTTACCATTACATGTACAATTGATCCTTTGTCACATACATATTAGATGTAACATTTGTGGAAGCTTATAGTGTATCCATGACTAAGAGTATATGCTAATTATAACCTCACAAATATTTTTTTAGTATAGATTCTTATTCTATGATACGAAATAAGGAAATTAATAGATATAATCAAGAATGACTATATATTGGTTGTTCAATCAAAACCTATTAATGGTCTTGGCCAACAGGCTCCTCACAAATTTCCTTATTGAAGTTTCTCGTCTTCAGATTCAAGGAAAGTTTTTTTGAGGTTACCATACCTTTTTGGTGAGAGACCGATGCATAGTCAGAGCTCTCCATTTGTCGTATGTCAATCAAGAAACCCCGACTTTATATGATACATTGTACCTCAATGTAGTTCTTACTGAGTTTAAAGCTAACTGCAGTTCAAATACAAATTCAATGTCTAATTATTAATGAGTAAAGAAGAAAAAAAAAAGATAGCTATCGTAAATTAGAATAGGTAAACTTGAAAAAATAAAGTTGATAAATGCATACATAACATAAACCAGAGAGAGAGAGGTGGAAAATAAATGAACTTGAATTTTCAATATCTACATCTATTATTGAAATAGAAATAGCAGAAGAGCGGAGGAGTTTTGAGGAGACGACGGTGAAGAAATGAATTGACCTAACTCATAACAATATGAACTGTGGCCTCTTGACAACTCAACCATCAGGATTCAATAAGATCTACTCAAATATGGTTGCTCTATAAGAAACAGACATAAGCCAACTTCTTCAGACAGTTGTAAGCTCACGGACACAACCATGAGTATAAGGCTCATATACCTTCTCAAGGTATGGGAATGACAACAAATATCCATGGAATTGGAAGAGGTGAGGGATAATCCATTTATCTTTGGGTTATATAGTTCAAAAATTACAAGAACAAACAGATTGTATTAAAAGATCCATAATATATCTTTTAAAAAAGTGCTAAAATTAACCGATGAAAAAAGTTGTGATCTTTAGTGATAAAGAGGAGCATATCTTTTTAGTAGTAATCCGGCATATCAACTTAATAGTTATTCATTTAACAGTTCCCTTCTCTTGAATAAGCATTGATTCTTTGCTTTCAAGTTCATACTTAAATCATATATTCAAGAATCAAGAATTAATTTCAAATAACATATTATCGAACTTATATAAGGTTGCGTATACACTATCCTCCCCAATCACCACTCATCAAATTACACTGAATATGTTATTGTTTAATAAGAAGCAATAAAAAACTTCAACTGTTGTGGAATATTTTTTCTAGAATTGAAAAGAAAAAAAACATATTCTTTCACTCAGATACGATACCAAAAAAACTGAAACTTGACTTACTGTGCAAAACGACTCTTTTGGGCAATAAAAGAGAAAATTTTGATGCTATCTCCTGCAACAGATTTTCTACATAGAGTGTAGTTAAAGGGGTCTGCTCAGCATTTTTAACACGATATTTCTGCCACAAGTGAAAGTAGGGCTCATCTTCCAAGAGAACACGAGGAGAGGAAAATTTCATGAGATAATCTAACCAACAAATTCAATCCGTTCATGCAACGTTTGAATGCAATATGGTCCTTCAGCAGGAATAGTCATATCAAGAATTTTATCTGCCTAGCCTGTAGAAATAATTTTTTTTCAGGGAGAAGAAATAATTGATGATAGACTTTCTTTCTAGTTGAATTTATTACTTACCAGCATAATAACGGGGATGTACAACCAGCGTACTCCAATCTTAACAGCCTGTTCATATGGCTTCTCAGTGTCCCAAGTCTCGAACGTTGCAATTTGATCATTATGTTTCTCAACCAGTTCAGCCAAGTGCAACATACTTTTGACCTTTCCTGCAGCATGGAACAGTTAGTGTTGTACGACAACCACATTAGAGAAATGTGTAAGCCACCAAAAAAAAAAGGTCAAAGACCAGATGGCACAACTTCGGGAATCCTCCGTGCTTCACTAAAACCCACGGCCGATTTCTTTCTCTGTTTGATCTCGAGAGAGGTTCATTCACTTCCTCGTCTTCTTTTCCTAGAGATAGCACTTCATCTTTATTGCATTCAATGGATTTCGGATAAACGGGTAACAAAAGGAACACTATCATGCCACTAAAAGCAATAAGGATACCAGGAACAATCACCGACCAACCCCATTTGTATTTCAATAATATTGATGCGACTAATGACCCCGTAATATCCCAACAGAAGTGTGAGAATTCTAAATACCCATTATAAATAACTTCTTCTTTGCAAAACTAATTCCCAACCATTGCAACTACTGCAGGACATCCAGAGGATTGGAATAATCCAGCAACCATTTGGACAGTCAGATACTCAAATAGTGCTAGAAACTATGGATGTTTGCCCAATATCCAAGTCCAAAAAGAGTTGTGAATAAATCTGTTCTCAATATTTCCACAGTAGAAAAAACTATTGAATCCATCTTATAGACTAAGTACCCTGAGATATTTAAGACCAACCCCACAAGATCAGGATCAACTATCAAGTGCTTGTTTCACGATAGTCGATACTTGCGGTTTTTCAATTAGCATGCCCACAACTTCCAACTTTTCTTATCAAAACTCAACTCTAACTCAGTTGTAGTTCATACATAATGATCCTAATAAGAACACTACTACAAAAAGCAACTCTTAATCGCTAGATACACCTTATATTTTGTTGATAAATATGTATTTGTTGCAGCGGCTAGAAACACTACAACAAATTTCGTGATTATTTATAATGGTTGGCTAAGCAATCTCTTGATAAACAATCACGAAATTTGTTGATGATTTTTTACTGTCTAACAATTTCTTAGTCAATCGTTATGAATGCCGGAACGCACACTTGTTTAATTGTTATGATAACAAACTTTTGCAAAATCACTGTATTCTTTAATATAAACCTCAAAGGTTCGAAAAGCTTACAAAACTCTCTTTCAGACCACGCCTCCAACCATGTCATAAGGCAACCGATAATTTTAACATTCTTGAGATTGAAAAGCATTATTTGAAATCCCAACTCGGAAAATTGATGTTATCTACTTTGGCGAAATATCTTAGCTTGAGCTAGCAGATACAACCTCTGCAAATCATGGTCCAATAAGTTCAAACATCTATAAAGAAAAAGCTTGAAACTTATTTTAATAATAGCATATGAACATTTGTAGATGCGAATTTTTCACCATATAGGAGAAAAAACTTACCTCGCTTTGTATGCCTATGGCACAAGGTACTTACTGAAAATTTTGAACACTACCAAAACAAGATTAGGAAAATATTTAGAGAGAAAACTAATTTGTACCGATGAAAAATCAAAGAGAACATAGAAGATAGAGTGGGTAGAATAATAAACACGGTATCGATGAAGTTAAGTTATGAAATTGAAAAATTTAAGTTTGGATGAAAGAAACTCGGACAAGTCTTCTGGAAATTCTTCATGGTTGGAAAGAAAAATGACTTCACGAGTCTTCTAGAAAGGCCAAAAAGCTAGTCATAAAAATTTGTCTTTGACCAAAATGACAAATTTGCCCTTGTATATAGTACAGAACTACCAAAATAGCCTTGGTCGTCATCCTCTATCACGCTTCTATATAGTAACTAGATACAGTTAGCCTGTGCTAAGCACAGGCCCAATATTTATATTTTGCAATGTTTTCGATAACTCCTTCAGTTTCAGTTCTCTAATTTTCTCAAACAACTTATAAACTTCATTTTTGAATAAAACTAAAAAAATATGAGCAAGTGTAAAAAAAGCTTGAGACTAATTAGTTCTATTGGTATATAATTTACTATTTGCTGAAGCAACAATAAATTGTAAAATAAGAAGCTAAAGCAAAAAAATCACAAGCTTCCACTGAAATTTCTTAACATATTTTTTTGTTACATAATTACAATTTCATTGGTTCTTCCGGTAGTTATTTGATCTTCATATAATACAAGATATTCAACTCAAATTTCTTAACATATTTTTTTGTTTCAGCAATCCCTGTATAATATATATTTCATAGAAACTTCAATTAGTTTCAAGCTATAACTTCATATAATTATCAGTATTTCGACAGAGCAATAGTTTCTAAAAGTGAGAAGACAGTGGATTGTTTCCCTTCCTGATCTTCTCTGTACATGCAACTCCTATTGCATAAGTTGGAACATTTTATTGTAGATTACCTTATCATGTTAAACAGATTAAAAGGCTACTAACCATGTGAAACAAGCAACCTCATTTCCTGCTAGAAATCCTTCACACTATTATCTCCTTTATCTGAATTAATTTATAAGCACCATATTAAGCCCGTGGTATTTTCAATAACATATCATCAATGGATATTAACATTTAGTGCAGGCTACTTGAAACAAAAGGCCTACTATTTAAGTAGAGTAGGATAATTTAATAATAGTCTTCAAGATTTACTTGTAATATTAAATATCAAAGAACATCATCGTTGTAAACATGATTTTGACCGGCAATTACCTGAAAGGCAGCAACAAAAGCTCTTATTTAGTGTGATATTAGATGAATGAGTTATGGTAAAAATAGAGTGTCACCTTAAAGAACATATTAAAGTCTAACCTCAAGTAAATATCCATCAAATATCTAACTAACAATAATAATTTATCACAATACAATTAACAACATGTCAGTTGTCATACATGTACGTTGTCCAACAAAAAGCTTACCGAAAATGAAATCCGGTAGAATACAACATTTAGCCATATAAGATCACAAAGAAAAACAAACAATATTGTAACCAGGCAAATAACGTAACTTCAATAAAATGATTGTGTTAAAATATTACAATATATACATACGGAAATAATCAAGCTAGCAAGAATACAGATACATAGATGTAGCTAAACTATTTATAGAAGAGGCGCTAGTCTAAGAAAAGACAAGAGAAACACTACTTGAACAACTCAAAATTTACTTAGGAAATGACTAAAATGGCAACTCATATAGTCAAAGTTCGGTCAGAAACTAAAATACAAAAATTTATTTCTATTATACACATAAAGGTAATACCAATATATCACATTCAACAAATTATTAGATCTATTTTCACATTCTAAATATCATTTTCACCATCAACTCCACTCAAAAGTCAACAAATTAGTTACCTGAATCTCTATTTTAATACAAATAATTTAGAGATAATGTCTATTTGACTTGAGTGTTTTCAAATAACAAAATTAAATTTGATGTAAGATTCAATAGATATAGTCATAGATTTCTACCATTGTTCTCAACATCATTTCATATAAGGGTGCAGACGAATTACAAAACAAAAATAAAGGTATCAGATAGAAAAGACAACATAAACTCAAAAGTATTCTAGAATAATGAAGTAAGCTCATAGCATGAATAAGACTATCCCATATAAAGATCTACATTATACAAAACTCTTAACTGAATCTTTTTTTTTAAAAAAAAAAATCATTAGCAAATGCATTGAAATTACTACCAATTAAAAGAAAAAAGATATTCATTAGTGAGGTATCAAACATTTTACAATGTTCCAAAACATAACTTAAGAGAAGAAAAATGAAAAGACAGTCGATGTAGCCTAGTAATAATAAAAGTATAAAAAATAACATATTTAACACTCCGTTGAAATTATATGATACCATTTCTCGGGGCCTTGCACCTGATCCAAGTAAGCATCATATGTGACATACCTCAATGAAATATACTTGTACCTAGATTCTAAGATATGATTTGATATCGAAGATGCTGAAGCGAAATCGTTATTTTAAGTTGAATTCGCATGACCGCATTTAAAAAATCATAGAGCGTAATGAAAGAAGGCAACACAAGCATCTTATTTATATATTACATTCTATTATTCTAAGCCAATTGAATGTTGTGCAAATCCAACCATCTAACAAGGCATCTTTTGATATTCTAAGAAACACGATGAGGTAATCATGGATCTCCTCTGAATGAAACAAAAGAAAATTAAAAGCACGATAAAAACTGAAAAGCATGGGGATATATCAAGAGAAAAAAGATATGCAAATATTACCTTTAATAATGTAATCACCGATTGATCATCAAAGATATCAACACTACAATCATCCAAACAGTTAACCTGCAAATGGGAGTAAACAAGTAAAATATTGCATAAAGATTCTCAAGTATATCTAATTTTAAATGGCATACATCTCAATTGTCGTAGGATTGAACTCCTCATTAAATACCCTTTTTAGTGACAATGAATAAGAATCAAATCATTTTTGAGATGCTACAAATTATAGTAATATAATACTGGTAAAGGGGTAGAGTCGTACAAATTCATCCATGCACTCAATTACTTGCAATTAACTCTTGAACTCACTATTGAAATAATTTAGAAAAAGGAGGAAAACAAACATTTGCTCATAATGCAACAAAATAAAACTCAAAAGTAATATAAAAATTAAAATCAAAATTTTAAAAAACTGGTACTAAAACAGGAAGGTGAAATGGAGATGTTTAAAGACACATCCATTTGGAGGAATAAAAACATACCTAAAATGAAGATGAAGAGAATTTAAAAAAAATACATATATATGCCAATAAAGGTTCCACCCAATTATCTTCCTGCAGTGATAGTGTGGAATATTTATAAAGAAGGATGGATGGTTCTAGAGTAATGCAGAGAGTGTATTTGTTAGTCTATATTTACATTTTTACCCTTTATATTTCTACATAGTAAAAAAAACAAATGGATGGTTTTAGAGTTAGGCAAAGAGTGTACTACCTTTGATATTTCTACATAGCAATAAAACGACAAAATGTATCTGAAATGAGAAAGGATAGTTTCTAATTTGCTTAAAAAACCTTATATTTTACCCTTGATAATGAGTATATTTACATTATTATCAGTGGTCGTCCATCTTGTTGGCTCTTCTATAATATAGTAATAATAATAATAATAATAATAATAATATAAGGGCTTAAGTGTAAGTATTCCAATCTTTAGGGGTCAAAGTGATATTCTACCCTTTCGTGACAGCCTTAAATAGTCTGCCAAGCCAACCCGATTCATATTCAATAGAATTTCTGTTAAAGGCCCAAACCCCCCTCTCCCCGATCATTGCTCTCTGTTAATCGACGCCGTGGTCGAGTCCCGCCGTCCATCCCGGACGTTTTCTCCGGCTAATTCTTCATCTCTATTGTGTCTATCCAAGGTCAAGACCATATCTTTTTGTGTTTATTGTCTTTTTTTTGGAAGCTTATTTCTTGTGCTTCTTATTGCGATTGGGCCTGAATAGAGCGAATTGGTTACAGAGGATTCATATAGGGAATCCAAACTAGTTTTGGATTCAGAATCCAAACTAGTTTTGGATTCAGATTTAGTTGCTTAATCGAACGATTGAATCATTGTTTCGATTGGGCATGAATAGAAAAAGGAAATAGGTCAAGAATATTACTGATTCGTAGAGTTCATTTTTTCTGGAAACGAAATACTGTATATATGATTTAAACGGTGATGTTTTAAAGATAATTTGATGATACATATAGCATTCTACATGATGTGATTTTGCCCTGCTGTGTATACTAACGTGTAGTTCTAATAGTTCAAAGACAAATAATGGGACATTTATTAGATAACAGTATTAACCAGTTCTCTATGAGAAAGAGAGAGACTTGGGGTACCTGATGACTATGTTGACAAAGCAAAAGTATGAAGAAAGTTATTGAATTTTCATGTGATTCTGATATACCTCAGTGCAAAACAGGATGAAGTGACTTCTTTGTTGAACATATTGTTAGTATACATTGGGTGTTAAAGTGTTATACTTCCTAAATGATGTTGATTGGCATGTTTGTTCCTTAATACAAGTTGATGCATCTTTGGATGACTTGAAAAGAAAAGTAGGTAAGGTACTTGAGAAGAGGGATTGTATAAGTTGGCCACTTTTTGACGGAAGAAATTCACTTTTTATAAATCTGTGTTGAGTTGCAGAAAATACCTCAAGTTACGAGGGGAAGCTTAAATGTTACTTCTGGAAAAACTTGTACTTGTTAGGATTCTTCATTCACTCAGTTATGCAGTGGTTTGTTTAATGTCTTTGCCTGGCTAGCATTTTCTTATGGAAGCTTTCTATTTTTACCAGATGGCATCACTTCAAGAAAGCTTGCAAAGGTTCAAGAAGCAGCAAGAGAAGTGCCAAGCTATTACTAGTATGGCTGCCAGAGCAGGACCTTCCAAGGGAGCTCCTCCAAGGCCAGCTAATGCAAAACCTCCTGCACCTGCAGTCAAATTTTCAAATGACACGGAAAGGCTCCAGCATATAAATACTATAAGGAAAGGGCCTGTTGGGTCTCAGATGAAACGTGTCATAGACTTGCTTCTGGAGGTATATGGCCACCACTTCTTTTCTCATTGTTTTTCAATCCCTCTTTAATTATATTTCTAAATTAAAAGAGCTATGATGCAGCTAATTTAACTTAGCACCTAGAAGCAAGTGTCAAAACTGCTAAATCTCTAAATTTATCCCACAGCAAAATAGCTTAGGATTAAGCTACCGACAGAGTTAGAACTAAGGAGCAATTTAACTTTGCTTACTGGTTGGCAGTCAAAACTTATTATCTGGTTGAGATCAGATCGAAAACCTTGTGGCAATCGTCCTAGATCTATGACTAGGTCTACCACTGAGGACTCTTGCGATGTTGGATGGTGCAATTTATTTGATCCAAAGTGCTTTTATTGGGGCACATCAAACAAGAAATGGACAGATGTTCTAAATACTGCAGTTTCAGTGGAGGGCTTTTGATGTTCTGGGAATTATTTTTGAGGGATGTCTCATGTAGTTTGTTGTACTATCGTATATTTATTTCATCCCGTGTTGGAGTAGTACAAATGTTTAATTCTATTACTAGATAGTTCAAGTTTCTAGAGTATCAACCATTTATTAGTAGTTGCAAGATCTACTTGAAGCTAGAGGTGGATGCTTGCATTATTAGCTGGAGTAATGGATTTGGTGATTATGATTTATCTCTTCTTTTAGCAGGACATATGTAATTAACTAAATATCATGTGAATTGACTTCAGGGTGCCATATTTATTACCTGGCACTACAGCACAACCGCATAAGTCATATCCGGCAGTTTTTCATCTTTTAGCTTCAAGTTGCTAGATTTTATTTGTGTATAATATTGTTTCGTTCTTCTTCCTTGATGCTACTGGACATTAACTACGTAGAATTACCGCAAAATTAAGACACCAAATGTGCTTAATACAACAGTAATGATGGCTGAATCGAGAACTGATTCAGCACTAATCTGTAGGTTCTTAATAATTCGAAAATCTGACATGGTCATTCCCCAGGAATTTTGTGTAACTCTCCATTTTAGCTGGATTCTCCACCTTGATTAATAGTGTCTTGTCCTGTTATCTTATAGGGAACTGTGACATATTCTGTAGTCGTAGTACTTGTAATATTGATAACTAATTAATTTCCATACATGCAGACAAGGCAAGCTTTCACACCAGAACAGATCAATGAAGCATGTTATGTTGATTTAATTGGCAATAAACCTGTGTTTGACAGTTTGAGGAAAAACGTCAAAGTATATTATGATGGCAATCGCTTTTCTTATAAGGTAAATTAAGGTCTTCTTAATTGTACTCCTCTGTCTTTAAGTCATTTGTAATCAACTCTGAATCTGTGTGTCTTTACTCTTTAGTAACATAAATTCACTTATTATTTGTCAACAGTCGAAACATGCTCTGAAAAATAAAGAGCAACTACTTATCTTGATAAGAAAATTCCCTGAGGGTATTGCTGTTATCGACCTCAAGGATGCATACCCGACTGTCATGGAGGACCTGCAGGTATTTCTCATACCAAGCTACTTTTGAGTTATTTGCTTTCAATGTACTGATACACAGGTATTTCCTATAGGCTCTCAAAGGTGCTGGTCAAATATGGCTGCTGTCAAATTTTGACTCCCAGGAAGACATCGCCTTCCCAAATGATCCACGAGTACCCATTAAGGTTGATGATGATTTGAAACAGCTATTCAGAGGTATTGAATTACCACGTGACATGCTTGATATCGAAAGGGATCTGCAGAAGAACGGGATGAAACCTGCTACCAACACTGCAAAGAGAAGGGCAATGGCACAAGTCCATGGCATTGCTCCCAAGCCCAAAACCAAAAAGAAGAAGCATGAGATTAGCAAGAGGACTAAGCTTACAAATGCTCATCTTCCAGAACTCTTCAAACTTTAGATATCTATTGGTTCATAAACTTCTCCCGAATAGAAAACAAGCACTGGAGTTCCTCCTCTCCTTTCCAGATTCTGTTGTCTAGTGACTGAACCTTGAATACCTAATGCTTTACCATACGTCTAGCATGAAGAGTTCTTTACGAATGGCTAAAGCCTTGGTGTTTGGTTCCTATTCACAAGGTTGTGTTTTGTTTTTACTGACCTGGTAAACTTGGGGTGGGAATATGATACTAATAATTTGTGATTTTATTACTGACTTGGGTTTTTGGACCATCAAATTGTTATGTTCATGAAGATCAACATCATTTTGTATCATATTGTTTAATATCAATATATATTACGATTAAAATTAGTAACTTGATGAGGCAACAACTCAAGAGATTTGCACATTTATTAGTTTCAGCTGCGAAAATTCTTTTCAACTTTGTGTACACCACGTTGTTAATTATACCGGTTTGTGAAGAAAGGTCCTAACTATCGTCATGATGCTATGATAACGGCTATTTATGGACTGGTCTATGTTAGCCACCAAGACAAAACTAGAAGAATTAGAAAACAATAGTTGCAACAAAGAGAGATGATCTTCTTGAACGATTACTGAGTAAGCATTGGATTTTACAATGATTAGGAATAACAATATGATTGATCGAGGGTTCAAACTGTGGAAACAAGTCTCTTCCAAATGATAAGTGTCTTGAAGAGATGCCAAACTTTACCAGATTTGTTAACTAATGTCTTTTGGAATGACCATAAAAAGAAGATACAACCATGATTGCCAACAAAATAAGCAAAACAACTTTCTTGGTAAGAACTCCCACAAATACCTATTTCAGAACTATGATATGCTAGCTGATCAAGATGTCCTGCTCTTAAAGCCTCTTAGGAGTTGAGACTTTCTCTGAGCAAGTCTACGAATTGATAGATGTCGTTGCGCTTCTGGCTCTCCAAAGGGAGGCTTTCCCTGCACGAGCTTTGAAAAGAGTGAGAAAAAAGAAGTAAAGATCTACTACTAATCGATCTTTAAACGAGATGATGCATCACCTTGTCCATTGAATCGCAGCATAATCAATTTCAGCAATTAGAGCTGCTTCCTCATGCCCAGTGGTTGCAATAATTTTACCCATCTGCTAACCAGAAAAACAAAGAGCTCTTTGATCGTTCTATACAGACCTCTGCAATCCAAAGTAACTACTAGTAATATCATAACATACCGGTCCAACCACAGTGGAGTGACCCCATATCATGTAGCTACTGGCTGAATCTCGAGACAGGGAGCAAGATGCCACATAAAGCTACGAAAAATGCAGTGAACATGCTTCGCAATGGGGAGCAGGATGCCACATAAAGACAAAGAGGACTATCATCATAAATCAACATGGTATTACCTGGTTATCTACTGCCCTGCAAAATCGGAGTTGAATGAGCAATAAGAATACAGCACACAACTTTGCAAATTCGGAGTTCCTGATTCTATAAGTGTGTGCAACTGCATTGGTCGCTCTTTACTGATATACACTAAAGAACTTAAGAAAACCTTTATTGGTAACTCTATTTACAACTACACGAAACAGAATCATCTTGCCTTGTTCTTTGCTCCAGTTCCCACAGGGTTGCCCCAGTACTCATGTTGAATGCTCCAGGGTAACATATTAAATGAGCACCTGATCCTCATATGAAAATTAAGGAGAAAAATTAGTTGAACAGGATTACTAACTACTTAAGCATGTAAACCATCATACCTCGGGCACTGTATGACATTGCCAGCTCAGGAAATCGTATATCATGACAAATTCCTATTCCAATGCGTCCAAAATCTGCAGATTGAAGTTTTCCGTTATAAGACTTGTAAAAGTACAGTTTCAAGTAGGAAGCCTGGCAGGGAAATTAAAGAAAGAATCTTAGTGCAAGCTGAAACTACTAGCAACACAAGTTTGGCCGGGAAAAAATGAGACCTAAATCAGAATTGGGAGTAGAGAAAATGTCAACATGTATATATGAACATGCCAGATGCAGGAATAACAGTTTCTCATTTTTCTGCTAATTTTTTGAGATTCCTGATACAGAAAATGTTGATACGTTTCACATTTGAGAGACAGAAGAATTACATCATATCCTCAAGGACCTATGGATCATACTAAAACTGTAAGTTACCAAACTTAGAAGTCAATGCATTAAGCAGGAAACAGTTGCCTACCTGTACCTACCTGTATCAACAACTGTAGGCTTCTCTCCTGCTGAAATGTTAACTGATTCCTTAAATTGGACCTCTCCCGGAAGTGGCTTACCCATGTCAAACAAATGTATCTGCGGAAAGGCATTGCACAATTACAATTCTAGCTCATCTTGCTATTCTCTTCATCCAATCACCTGTTTTAACTTCTTTTCGGTGCAACCAAAGTTTATCATTATATTCATTCTTTCACTTTCATAAAGCATTTGAGAACTAGCTTAACACTAATCAGAAAAGTGAAAGATGTGTTCTTCGTTATAGACTTCTCTATCTTCTAATTAAAAAAAGCTTACTTTTCTGTGCTAATCAGAAAAGTGAAAGATGTGTTCTTCGTTATAGACTTCTCTATCTTCTAATTAGAAAAAGCTTACTTTTCTGTGCTTAGCCTTCAACTCTCCATTAGGCCCAAACACAGGGCAGCTATTGTACAGCTGACCAGCATCCTTTTCCGGAATCGATCCACCTATAATGGTGACTCCTAAGGAAGAAGCCACTTCAGATAACATAAGCAATGATGGGGCACTGTCTATATCGCTGAACTCCTCAGCAAACTTTGCGAACAAGTCAGTTGAATAAGGGCAATTCCACATTTCCTACAACAAATTATTGAAATACACTGAATCTCACATCCAACATTGCTATTAAGATATACACTTTGACCATATGTTTTCAATCTTCAGATAGGAACTTCTTTAGGCTGATACTTTCCGAACTTATGAGAATTCATATAAAGTTTCATTCTTAAAACTATAGCCGGAAAGAAGACAAAGAACTGCCAACAGCATCAAACGTTATTCTGGAAATAATAACAATGTGCTAGTCAACATGTTAAGGTCAAATCACTATGCTAGACTTCCACAGTGAATAAACAAAGAGTAAAAGAGGTAAAAGGCATGGATGATCTAAAACCAAAAATATAACAAACTTCTTTTAGAATTCAAGTTTTATACACAAACAGGGTAAACAATTGCATAGACAAATTACTTAAAACCAACTGAGGCGTAAATGTCTTATGAAGTGCATGTTGTTAACGTATGCAACAGTGTCTGATTAGTTAAAATTGGACAAATTATAACGTGCAACTTTTTACATTTAGTTTATAAATCAGCATGAGATTTATCAAAAGAAATTATGTAAAAGAAAAAATGAACAAGGAGGGTCAAAAATAACGAAAACACGAGAGAAGCTGAAGAATGATTGTGTTAATTCGTTGATAGAACTAGGGGAAACAAGCTTCACATGTGACACTCAACATTGATTGTGTTCTTTCCGCCCTCCAACTCAACACATCTTCACCTCCATCCTCACCACCCATGCCCTCGTGTCCTCCCTGTATTTCTCTAAATTATATACAAATACTTCTAGGATTAGTAAAGCCCCTTCTTTTTTTCCTAAAAGGAACATTTTCCTTCATAGCAAAAACACCCTTTAAAGCTAAAATTAAAAAGAGTTTAAGTGAAGGAAAAGGCTACTCACAGGCAAAAGTATAAGAGTTGCACCTTGTTCTGCAGCAGTTTGAATCAGACTACGAGCATTGAAGATGTTTGCACTCTTCTCTGTGGTAACTATCAGCTGACAAATTCCAATCTTGAACTGTTTTTATTAAAAAAAAATGTCATGTTTTGGATGGAGAAACCAAAAGGGTATTTTAAAAGAAAAACAGACCTGTGTTACATTGGGAATTTGCAGTGGAGCAGAGACAAAGGACTGAACAGCAACTGTTGCCATGGAAGTGCAGATTTAGTGGGAAATGAGAGTCAACAATATGGGAAGGTGATGGTAAAAGTAAAGGGCACGTCTGGCAATTAGAAAATATCCAACTCTTATTTCATTTCAGTTATTATAATTCCATAATTAGTAGTGTTATGGACTTGACAACTGAAAACTATGATCATAATACTAGTACTACTAATAATAATAATAAAATCTTATTTAACTCTTCATGTTGTCACATGTTCAACCAGTTTCTGCCCCCATACAGATAATTTTATATTACTAACCTTGATTAACTTGGACTTGAAGCATAATTATTGGTGTTGTAATAACAGAGAAAATGTTAAGAATAAAATTATCCTTTGCCTTGGCTAAATCAGTCCTATATGCACGAGTTGAGAACTTCCAATGTGCGGAGCTAAGGCCGCAAGAGGTTCGTTACTTAGCAGACGCACAATATAAAACTTTCAATTTCAGCCTAAAAATCGTGAATTCGAATCACTAAGAGAATAAGTGAGATGAAAGTTCACGTAGGCAATGAATTGAGCTACTAAGATAATTTATGAACACAAATGTATCAACCAAATATTTCAACTCAAGTCAAATTGCTATCTTAGCTGTAACTCTACAAGAAGAATATTTCAACTATGAACCAATGCCTAAAATGATAAAAGTGAAATAAAATATGAAAATGGATTTAAAACAAGCTGAGTCATTCTCCTCTTCTGTACAACCAACAACCTCATGGATTCTACAGCCTCCATAAGAATCAATGAAGCCACTCTTGCTATGAAAAAAACTTCCCCAGAGAAATTAACATCATGGAATCTGCGCAATTTCAACCAAAATCTTATGCAGTGACTGTGGCTTTGAGAAGAATGGAGAATGGTCACTGCCTTTGATCTTGAAAACTCCTTCAGGAGGGTTTACCCTCACAAGCTTTTCTTGGACATCTGGTGAAAGAGCATGATCATCCAATGTCTGGATATAAAATCTACGACTAGTTCCATACTTTTCAGGTGTCAGTGACAGCTTGTCCATCATCGGACCAAGAGGAATAGGTCTCATAGAAACCATTGCTAACGCAACATCCTGCAATCATTACATAACTTGTTAATGATTATTTTCGTGAAACCTTCTATTTACATTCTCTAACTTCTTGGAAAACATATATCTAGACAGTAAAATACACACAAGGATTCCTTGGTACTGAATACCTCTTCCACCAAGGAGGATGGAAAGAAATTTCCTAATGTTTTTCGCTCTGTTTGGGATTTGAACCAGAGACCTCTTGGTTTACCACCTGTACTTCATTGACCACTAGGCCACACCCTTGGGTGCTTCTTCGTCAATAACTTAACTTCTGAAATTGGCTATAATTAAATGTTGAAATCATAATTTACACCAAACTCTGAAGGAAACCGGATCGATTCTGATGTAGTCAACTTATCTATGTTACCACAAGAAGTCGATGATCAAGATCCATAGTGTAAGCATATTCTCCCAGTAAAATTAAGAAAAATAAGCCCCTTTTCAGTTTTATGTATTTTACTTTGAGCTCGTTGAAGTGTTTTCACTACTCTAGTACAACAATTAAAATACTAGTCGAGCTCCAAAAAAACCTTTCATGCTCCATCTTCTACACTTTGATTTGCTTAATTTGTAGTATATGGAGGTTTTACTGTTCACCTTCTTCTTTTTTCAGTTGCGGTGTAAATAATCATTTTCCAATTCTAAAAGTGATGAGTTGTTCTATGAATTCAAAGCAGGTACAGGCCCAACATTACTTTCTACTGAACTTGTTAACTCAAACAACATGATCCAACTACCAAATTCTTGTATAAGTGCAACCAGAACCGACATTTATATTGTTGTCCATTATGTTGCCTATTACCTTTAGGTGATGTATATGACATGACAAACATGCCATCATGAGAAAAAATTTCATCATACTGCTACTCCCACTACCCCATACACACACAGAGAGAAGTTGCATTTGTTTTGACCGAGCAGTGATGCCTCTGTATTTTCAGTCGTCATTTCTAGTTTCTACGGTAGTCTCAATTCAAACAGCATAGAACAATGCACTCCAAAACACATTTCCACACATCTTTAGCATTTAAATTATTGTCTCGATCAATGAATTATTAAGATTTTATAAATCAAATATTTACCAATAATGTTGAGCTTTTGTGTATAAGTTATATATATCAATTATGACTCCTTGCAACTTGTATAAAGGAAGTACCTTTGAAGGAGACTGATTAAAATATAGCCCATGCATTTGCTCCTTCTCGAACATGATGCCAGTGGCAGGCTTGTCTTTACCATTCCCATAAGTTAAAAACTTAGATTCCTGGGTGAAAAGCTCTGCGGACCCAAGCTGCAAAATTAACAATATGAAAACATCAAAATGGAGAGGAGATATAAAAGAATTATTGACACTAGAAGAAACTTTCAGAAGCAGATCTATTTTTGAGACCAAACAAATCCTTAATGAGCTCAAATTGATAGGTTATAATGAATGACACCTAATCCACCAGTAATTTTGTAATATATATCTGCAACGTCTTTAAACATCATGAATCATGCATGAAGAAAATTGTGGCATGGTTAATTGAACTTAGATGAACCAATTCAAAACTCAATACAATTCCTACATCAGTCTACAGTGATCGTCACAAATTCCCATCATCAGCAGATTATAACGCAATAAGATTTCAAATATATATGCAAGCATATTAACCAGCCAGTCAGTAGAATGCAAATTTGGGATGTGGACTGAACTGATGAAGCAGCAGTCACTATCAGTCAATATCAGACATCACTTCTTATTGTACTTAGTCCTATTCTTACCTTTTGAGCTCCAAATTATGTACAAGCCCCTACTTTTGTTAACTAATGTACATAAATTGGGTCAGATATTCTGAAACTAGCAAAATTCCTATTTTACCTACCTGACCAGAGATCAGGAATTTGCATTCAGTTACTTGCTATGCAGTTTGGTGCTATTTTTGTCATGCTTAAGAACTACAGAAGTTTCAAATGACAGTTTATTGACCTCTTATTTCTGGAGCATGTGCCTCACACGTTCGTATATTTTTCTCTTGAAATATTCTTAACTTCAACCACTCCATATGATGAAACAAGAATATCATACAAGATCACATCATGACATAAACAGTGTTTTCTGAAGGTATGACCATAACAATGTTTGTGAAATACCAGGAGCAACTCTGCTGCTAAACAAAATACTTTTATACATGCACTTTAAAAAGTGCAACTATTAAATAATTCAACTGGTTTCCCAATCAAAGTCAGAATAAATGGTTGGTAACCATCCTCGGTAATTGTTATGAAATATATACAAAATAACGGATGCGTACCTCTTCAGCGAACACATCAAAAGGCCTCTGACCATCAGATATCATCGTGGCACAAAGAAATACTGCTTTTGCAATTTTAGTTGGGAAATGCTCCAAGACATAGGAAACACAAGCACCTCCAGCACTGTGACCGACCAAAATTACCTAGAAGAGTTTATATGCATAATGTTTCCAGAATATATATTGTTTGAATTCATAAACAAAAAAAAGGACTTGAAACTTAAACCAAATCTTACCTTTTCATCCTCTGGCAAGTTCTCCAGATAATCAATTAATGGTTTCGAGTATGCCTCTAGAGATGTAACATTATTAGTATTTGTCAGATCAATGCCAGATCCAGTGAGATCTAAGGCTGTGGGGACCAATCCTGTTTCCTCCAACAGAGCAATAGTTTTGTACCAACACCAAGCTCCAAATCCTTCTCCATGTATCAAAACAATTTTCTTTGTTTTGATGTTCTCCAAAAATTCTGGTAACTTTACAGCATAAATATCGTAAGGTATTTGCAGTGTCACATGAAAATTTTCTAGAGTGAGCCAAAAAGATAAATGGTTACGGGTTTTCCGTTGTCTCCTTTTCTATATCCTTCTTTTAAGGATATTTCCACTGATTAGGCAACACTAAGATGGATTTGAACTTTTTCAATCACTCTGCTATTTACCTTGAACTAAATAAAATATAGGCTTCCTATCTATGTTATATATCTCTCCATCTACAGCATGAGTACTTAAAGCTAGTGAGAAGTTCAAAGGTATACTTCCCACAAATATGATTGGAGCCACAAGAATATCCGTAAACAAAGGGGAAGCACTAAAGAAGGAAGGTATTCAAAGATCACTTTGGCAAAACAATATTCAGCAATAACCAAAAATAAGAAGAAAATCAGAAAGGAGAAGAGTGGATCTATTTACTATTCTTTCCCATCCATCCATCCATCTGAGTTTCGCAAAAGATATTTGTCCAAATCCGAAAAGCAAAGGACTCTTGTTAAGCCTATAATCAACGGTCTAACAATGAATCTTAGCTGAATAAACCAATTTGGGAGAAAAGGCCAAAAGAGGAGGGGATCAAAACTTTTCACTTTTTTAGCAACAAAAGTACCTTTTGACTTATTTCCTTTTCAGGAGCACTTCAGCAGTATCACGAATCTTTAAGAAAACTATCCTATTCATATCCACGAAAAATAAACAAAGATGTTACTTTTCTGCACTCTGCAGCTCCAAAGAAACTTTCCACTCAGACACATTATAGAATTCAATGTCTTAGTCGAATATATAATAAATTAAAGCAAAAGGGACTCCAAATACTTAAATTAATAGACAAAATTAGGGTTCTAATATAATTAATACCTGTTTGGAACTGGCTTGCTGGTCTGTCAAATCATTGCGACGGCGAGAGCTAGTGGATCCAACACGCCTAGAAATAGACCCATCAAATCTTTGAGACAACTGATGCTGCTGAATTGCCATAGATAAAGCTTGCCTGTGAAGCAACTCCTCTTCCAATAATGACCTCCTCTTTGATCTCTCCATCCTCCTACTCCTCGACCCAACTCCATTTTTCCCAGCTTCTCTTATCTCCTTCTTCGTCATGCACATAGTATTACCCATTTCTCAAAATCCAATTTTGAACAAAACCCAGATGAAATAAACACTAAAAGCCTGAAATTCCACAAAATCCCACAAGACCCAGAAACTATTTCGTCAAAAAGAAGCAGAAAACCTGTAAAATCGGCAGTGTAAATGGAGCTGCAGGTGTACTTGAAAAACGACAGCGTTTTAGAGGTACACAGTAGGTGGAAGTGGAAGGGAGGTGGGGTTTTTAATACATTTGATCGTTGAGAAAAAATCTGTAAAAACGAGTAAAATATTCAAAGGAATTCAATGCTTCATTATATCCTTCTTCTCTGTCTGTCATTTTCGAGTTTCTACTTCTGGTTTGCTTTTATCTCTCTGTGATGTTGAAATTTGGTTTGTGAATTTTTATCCCTGTTGAC